TTACAAAGACAATTTTGGTGGCCGCACATGTGCAAGGATTTATCTTTGTTCGTCAATCGTGCCAATTATGCGCTATGAGCAAACCTCGGCCGGGGAAGACCCCGGGACTATTGCACCCTCTACCCACACCAAATCGGCCCTGGGAAATGAATTCCATGGATTTTATTACGGACTTACCCCCGAGCTAATCAATGACGGTGATTTGGGTGGTGGTTGATTTGTTTTCTAAGCAAGCACACTTCATCCCCTTTGCCTCATTGCCTACGGCCAAAGCCCTGGCCAAAGCGTTTCCAACCAAGGTGATCTCCGACCGGGGAACTCAGTTCGTTTCCCATTTTTGGGGGGAGCTGATGAAACTTATGGGGGTGGAACGGGGCTTGAGCAGCGCTTACCACCCAGAGACAGACGGATGGACAAACGGAAAGGGTTAACCAGACATTGGAGCAATATCTCTGTTGTTTTACCAATTATCAACAAGACAATTGGAATGATTTATTGCCCTTGGTGGAATTCTGCTATAATAACACTTGTCACTCTTCCATGGGGATGTCCCCATTTAAAGGGCTGTATGGATATGATAGCCCCCGGTGCCCTTTCTGGAAGGGGACGTGGACATGGGGTCGGGGGAGGCGGGCCAATGGTGCAAACAACTGCGAGACTCAACACCTCTTGTGTAAGACTTTGAACGTGGCTAAAGACGCTTATAAAACACAGGCTGACAAGAGAAGGGTGGAGGGTTGGGCTCTGCAGCCTGGAGACTTGGTGTATGTGTCTACCAAAAACATTCAACTGCTAAGACCAAGTAGAAAGTTTGGTTGGAAATTCATTGGGCCGTTTAAAGTGCGTAAAATTATCAATGATGTTGCCGTTGATCTTGAATTGCCAAAAAACTTGAGGAAATTGCAGTCTGTACTTCATTTCAGCCTCCTGAAGAAGGATTCCGGTCCCAGCAAATGGCGTCCTGCACAACCAGTGCCCCCTCCTATCATGATTGAGGTCGAGGAACACTATGAGATTTCTAAAACACTGGACTCTAAATTGAAAAGGGGAAAACTGTTGTATTTGTTTTAATGGAAGGACTTTGGACCCCAGCACCTCGAATGGGTGGAAGTAGGGGATATTAGGGCCCCTCAGTTGATCTGAAGGTTCCATCCGGAGTTCCCGGACAAACCGGGGGATCTCCCGGATTAACCGGGAGATAATTTGCACGTGGTGTAAAGTTGATTTTTAAGGGGGCAGTATGTCAGCAAGCTGCCAATGTTTATTTTCATTTCCTGCATGTGTGTGTGCGCTTGCTTTTATTTTTGTAGACCCGTAGATGCGCATGGCTATGTAGCTCGCCATAACAATTATATCTCCTCAAGGCCACAGGTGGAAGTAAGCTCGTTAGCACTGGGAAGCTCTCATAAATCACCGTGAGAAGAAGATAACATGAGAGGCTGGGGGGTGCATACGAATACCCTATATCCCATTATGCGCATAGGTATCCCGCCATTCTTAACAGTGTTCATGTTATTGCATCTATGGCTTTTCAATAAAAGTAAAACCTTCCTGGAAGTGTGTACTCCGTTGTTTAGCTGTGGGTTCTGACATTCAGTAAAGATTTTTTACGAGCCAACTTGATTCCAAAAAAGACATAGCTTATTTGACAGACTTGTTTAAAAAATTTAATGAAACAAATCTACAGCTCCAAGGCGATGAGCTGAATTTAATCAAAACAAAAACTGTCATTTCTGCATTTGTGGCAAAACTTCTTCTGTACAAACAAAATTAAGGACGAGGGGAATTCAGCCAGTTTCCAAATTTATCAACAGTAGAAAAACATGATTAAGACTTGCTTACCTATTCTCAGCACTTGGAGGCTCTCTATTCTAACTTTAATCAACAATTTGAAGATATTCTTAAAATGAACATACTCGACTTGGTTTTGGACCCTTTTTCAAGGACACAGAAGAATCTCTTATAGAAGTAACAACAAATGGGGAATTTAAATTTAAATTCAAAGATGGCTACCAACAGTTCTGGCTGCAAAAGCAGATTTTTTGTTGTTGTTCAGTCGCACAGTCGAGTCCGACTCTTCGCGACTCCATGGACCAGATCACGCCAGGCAAAGCAGATACCTACACTTCATCCTGGATTATGGGCTATAGTACAAAAGTTTCTAATTGCATTTCCTTCAACATATTTAGTGGAACATGGGTTCAGTGCAGTCACAAATCTGTTAACTAAAAAAAGAAACCGACTGCAAATAGCTAATCGTGGTGATTTAAGATTGCTGCTGACAAAAATAGAGCCAAACATTAATAAGTTGATAGCAGTGCACCAGGGTCATCCTTCTCATTAGGATTATTTTACTGTCATTTGTGATTTTTATTTTAATATTGTCCTCTGTTATCTTAATTTTCTGTGTATGCGCAAATGTTACTATGGTTGATTTTATAAAATACTTTTATGTTTTCAAGCTTAAAGGTGTTTTATTTACAACAACATCTTTCTTTACTATGTGCAAATTTGTCACTGCATCTTTTTGTCCACTTCTTAAAGATAGATTTCCAGGTGGTCGCTGAGTAATTTTTTTTCCCCCTGAAAAGGGGGTGGTAGGCCAAATAAGTTTGGGAACCACTGGCCTAGAGCATCCCTGACCAGGGTTTGTCCAGCCGCTGCTTGAAGACTGCCAGTGAGGGGGAGCTCACCACCTCCCTAGGCAGTTGGTTCCACTGTGGCATAAGTGTAAAAAAGTTTGTCCTAATATCCAGCCGGTACCTTCCCACCCTTAACTTAAACCCATTCTTGTGAGTCCTCTCCTCTGCTGCCAACAGGAACAGCTCCTGGCCCTCCTCTGACACAGCCCTTCAAAGACTTCAAAAGAGCAATGAAGTCCCCCTCAACCTCCTCTTCCCCAGACTGAACATTCCCAAGTCCCTCAGCCTTTCCTCACAGGGCTTGGTCTCCGGGGGCCCAATCCTCCTCCTCCTCCTCCGCATCTGCTCCATTCTGTCCAAATCCCTTTTGAAGTGAGGCCTGCAGAACTGCACACAATACTCCAGGTGCACCCTGACTAATGCAGTGTACAGCGGGACTATGACATCTTGTGATTTGGATATTATGCCTCTGTTGATACACCCCAAGATCACATTAGCCTTTTTTCTCACATCACACTAGCTGCTTGTATTTGATTTTCGATCCACCCATACCCCAAGATCTTCTTCACACACACACTGCTACCCAGAACTGTATCTCCCACACAGAACACATTTTCCTCATTTTTGTTACCCAGATATCAAACTTGGCACTTATCCTTGTTAAATTGCATCTTGTTTACATCCGCCCACTTTTCCAGCGTGTTCAGATCTCATTGAATTCTATCTCTATATTCCAGTGTTTTGCTGCTCCTCCCAATTTGTTCTCATCTGCAAATTTAATGAGTAGCCCTTCTACCCCTTCATCCAGATCATCGATAAAATATTGAAAAGTACTGGGCCCCCCACTGGACACCTCCCTCCAGTCAAATGAAATGCCATCGATAGCTACTCTCTGAGTGCGGTTCTCCAACCAGTTCCCTCTCCACCTCGCTATCCTAGAGTCCATCAGCTTACCCATCAGAGCATCCGGAGGAACCCTGTCAGAAGCTTTACTGAAATCCAGGGAAGCAACATCAGCAGCATTCCCTCGATCCAGTCAGCTTGTCACTTTATCAGAGAAGGAAAGGAGGTTGGCCTGGCAGGGCCTATTGGGGACAAATCGGTGCTGACTTCCCTGGATCACCGGGTTGTCCTTTAGATGCTTGCAGACTGATCCCTTTAAAATCTGCTCCAGTCTCTTCCCCGGGACAGAGGTCAGGCTGACTGACTGGGATGAAGAGAGACAGCCTCCTCCGGGGAATCTTAGCCTGCCCCGCTCTCTTTACCCCCACGGAAGACCTATTGCCACCATCTCACTAGCCCATTTTTATCCCTCCCAGGAGCCTCCCAGGTCCTAGTCTGCCACACAACATTATATGACCAAGTTCCTTTCGTCTCCCTCCACAGGCTCCTGAAAAGACACCTCAGGCACAGCCATCGACCCCGGCCAGTCACAGGCCATTAGAACAGGCGCCTGAATCTGCAGCAGCAGCAGAGGGACCCTCGACTCTTCCACCTGCTGGCACCTCCCCTTCTGCACAGTCACCTCTGCTGGAGTCCCGTGGCCACTTGAGAGGCGGTCTGAACTCAGGAAAATCCCTCCAGAGGCAGGCGATGCTCCCTCTCCCCCACCCCACCCCCGTCAGAAGCGGGGCTCTCTGTACTGCAAGGGTGCTTGCAGGGCTTGAACTCAGGAAAATCCCTCCAGAGGCAGGCAATGCTCCCTCACCCACCCCCGTCAGAAGCGGGGCTCTCTGTACTGCAAGGGTGCTTGCAGAGGTCCACAAAAGTTAATTACCCAACGAGAGTCTTCCCAGAGCTAAAAAGCCCACAATGTTTCCCATGCAGGTGGATCTCTGGGCCCCTCCCCCCCCCCGGCAGCCCCCGGATTGTGGAACGGGCTGGCAGGGAAAGATACGGAGGGCAGCTTCTCGGACTGCAGCTCCAAAACCAAGCGTGAGTTCTGCCATTCCAGCACGAGCCTCTGTGAGGCAGAGTTTCTGTGAGCTTCCTGCCATAAATCTTTCCATTTCCAAACGAGAGCAGTTGTTATATGCGAATGAGTGATAAAGGCTAATAATTTTAAGACGGAATGTTTTAAAGTATTAAAAAAACCCTGTACTGATGTGAAACTGTGTGTGTGTTTCTCTAACTGCATTGCGCTGTGAGCCATCTTGAACACAGGAAAGGCGGACAAGGAATTAAACCACCCCGCTGTTGCCCAGAGTCTCACGAGGCCTCCTTGGCCAGAGCGACATCCAGCCAGTGGTCAGAGTCCCCCCCTCTGCACAAGTGCAGCCCCCGGGGGGTCCCTCTCTCTGCTCCATCTCCCGCTGCCTCGGCCAAGAGTGGCTCTCTGGTCCTCCCCTCCGCAAAGCATCAGCGCCCACTCAAAACGTCCCCCAGGGCCAGGTGGACAGGATGCCGGTTGAGGTGACTCCCAAAGGAAAAGCAGTTGCCGCCGCCCCCAGTCAGAAGAACCTCCTCTTCGTCCGGCATGAAGACACTGCTGTGGTTGTGCAACATCAGGGGCCACTCCAGGGCTGCCTGGAAGGGAAGAGAAGAAGGACGGGTGAGAGCACAGCAAGGGGAGCAGGCTGGCCCCCAGAGACGGGAGCACCGGCCCTGACCCCCCTTCTCTGTGTGGTGGACCCTCTAGGCAGACCCTTCTAAGGGTAAGGTCGTTTTCCCCAAGTAGCAAGCGAAACGCCTTTGGGGGTCCCTATTGGGATGGAAATGTTTCAGCCCAAAAATGTTCCAAACAAATAAAAATGCAATAGTGATGAACACAGCTTTGGAAGACGGCTGGAGTAAAGCTGGAGTGTTGCGGTGCCTGCAGGCAGTCTCAGACCACACCCCACCCCAATGTTAGGATCAAGCACAGGAGAAACGAAACGGTACAAAGACAGGGATCCGAAGAATGGCAGCTGAGCATCTGGGCCAGAACACAGGTCACAGAATCGTAGCTCCCCCCTCTAAGCTGCGGAGTCCCCTTGTGAGCAGGAATCCTACTCTGTGAGCTCCTGGCATTAAAGTTGTGAGCCAGCAGTTTGGCTACTGCTTGAATTAGTTTGCTCTGGAGCCCCAACCTTCCTGAGCTACGACAGAAACGCGAGAGCCGGAGGCTACAAGACTGTGAGCTAGCTCAGACTAACTCAGCTTAGAGGGAACACTGGTTGGAAGGGACCTCTAGGGTCAGGTGAGAGCCAGTTTGAGTGAGAGCCAGTTTGGTGTAGTGGTTAAGTGTGCGGACTCTAATCTGGGAGAACCGGGTTTGATTCCCCACTCCTCCACTTGCACCTGCTGATGTGACCTTGGGTCAGTCACAAGCTCTGGCACAGCTGTCCTTGAAAAAGAGCCGTTTGTGTCAGAGTTCTCTCAGCCCCACCCACCTCACAGGGTGTCTGTTGTGGGGAGGGGAAGGGAAAG